GAAGAATTGCATTAAGTATAAAAACAGAGATAACTTACGATAGATAGATGGCAGTTAAAATTACCTGCTTAATTGAGGAAAACTAGTCGACATGCAACGTTGTAATGTAACCGTGCTGGGAAACCCCACAACTGGATACTGACGTCAGTAGCATAGTCGAAAGTAGGAAAATGAAACATTTTTACGAAACGCCAGGACGTACAACTTTAGTTACATCATTTTATAAATACATCATAATATTTAATTTCTAAGTATGTTTTGTATCAGTTAATACTTATTTAACATCCAACAAAATGTTAAAATACACAACGAAAATATTAGTTCTTCCATAAATATTATAGGGAAGTAACCAGATATCACTACTTACATATTTGTTGGACTAGATCACTAGACTTTATATTACTTACCTACCTATGTTATTTGTTAACACTCGTGTGTGAATTAAAACTAAATGAACATATCAAACAGTGGTCATAACCTTTTCAGAAGTTACTTAACCAGAAGAATCAATACATAGTATAAAACAAAGTCGCTTTCGCTGTATGTCCGTATGTATGCTTAGATCTTTAAAACTACGCAACGGATTTTGATGCGGTTTTTTTTAATAGATAGAGTGATTCTTAAGGAAGGTTTGTATGTATAATACATGCATATTGCACCCGTGCGAAGCCGGGGCGGGTCGCTAGTAATGTATAAACTATAGTTCACAAGATAAACTTAAGGAAGTACGTAGTACTCGGTAGTACATACTAAACGGAGTCAAGGCAATGGTTTTCGCAATATTTGTGCCCGCGCCCTGCGCGCGCGCAGTGAAAGCCAATCTTGCACAACTGCAGATCTTAGAGCGAAATACGTCTCGATTTAAATGGAAAATTAAATGCACTTTATGCAAAACTACTTGCAATATAATCGCCAGTATTATTTGCGCGATCTGCAAATGGGTTTGAAAATAATGTCTGTGAATCTCGTTCTTGTCACAAATTAAGGGTCTGTTTGACATGTCTGGATAGACACTTTGTATCAAATTGAGAACGTAATTTATATGAACTGTCTGTCAAATAAGTTAGGTAATCGGGATACTTATATGTATGAAGGTGGGTGAAATAGACTACATTCTACAATTGCAGTTAAACTACAAATACCTATGTAACGATCTAGATAAAAATTCCTCGTTAACTAGTCACACCTGTCGACCATAAAGTCACGTTCCCCTAGATTACAACCTACATACTATAAAGTGACAGGTGATCATCTGCCTGCAGTAGATTACACATGATTGTCATTTATTTTTATATAGTCTCGTCATGTGGGTTTTCCTGGGGTTTTCCTGTAACTACCTACTCACATATACTCAGTAGTTAACCACTTAGTCAAATGATAATGGGTCTCCGGTTTTATAGGTCATCTCAAAATCCCCGGTGCGCGTTCCGGCAAAAGCAACATTGCCGGCGCATCATACTGCTTTAAGCGGACACATTTTAATAGATTTGTTACTTTATTAAAAACATTAGAGTTGGAACTGTCAACAAATTAAAATATTCAGGTAACTACATAAACAAATAGGTACTATTACTATTACAGGTAGAATTATTGTTGGAGACTGGCATGTTATTTTCAAGTACTTAGCTTACATGAAATGAGATAGAAGTTGTAACAAACAGGAATGTCTTCTTTGTCAAATGTAAAACATAACATCACGCCTTTTATCCCCGAAGGGGTAAGCAGAGGTGCACATTACAGCACTTAATGCCACTGTACAATGAAACACTCACTTTTCACTATTTATGTTATGACTCCCATGTAATAGGCGGTGAACCTATTGCCATATACCGAGCATAATTTCAGACTCCGTGCTACCACTAAGAACTTTTTAAAAACCCAGTATAGCTTTTCCCGACCCGGAAATCGGACCCGAGACCCCTTGCCTAGCTGCCGCACTTGCGACCATTCGGCCAACGAGGCAGTCTCAGAATGTAAAACAATATCTTGCTAAACATCACATTGCAGTACTACTAAATCATAAAATAGCAAACTACGAATAAAGCTACATTTTTCAGTATTCAAGAAACATATTTTTCTTTGTATTTCTCTTACATACATACAATCATACATATACCTCATTAATAAAACACCACCTACTTTTGACACTGTAATGGCACCGTTTATTTGTCTTCTACCAGCTGTAGGAACAATAGCAATGAATCACAATAGTCATATATTTTCAGGTAACAAACATGTCTGTAATTTATAACTAATGAGTGTTTCTGTAGGTGCCTCTCAAGTCTTTACTTTATTGTCTTTCAAATAATAGTCAATGGGTCACGACATAACATAATAAGAATAATATATTTGTGTGTTGTGACGAACATAACTATGTATCAATACATTGAACACGTGTCTATGGTGTTTACATTATGTATATGTACAGTCACCCAAGTCATTTACTACGCAGGTAAGAAAACAAAGATTAATTCGAAAGAGACAGTAGTTATTGTTACAATTAATTGTATGCTTTTTAACGAAGCCATATTTTTTGTAACCATTGGTCGACCATTGGTCGTTTTCACTCAGTTGTACAGTCTCTTCTTTGTGCCTTTAGGCTTAATTCATTCTGTCTCCTGCAGTAATTCACCGAGGGAAGTGGAAACTATAGTTTTTTCTTCTTTTCCTCTTATAATATCTTCTGATTCACTTCGTTGCGGGAACCAAGACAGTTACTCATGTCCCTGAGACGCGCCGGACTTCAATGTTCCGGTGTTTTCATGGTTGTATCTACTGTAGATCCTGGCTTACAGGAGTTGCAGCGGTTTTGGGAGGTTGTGGCGAGCTTGTCCCAAAAAAAAAACCATTGGTCGACTCAGGAGCCAACCAATAATTGCTGTCTCTACACTGAATCTATCTATATTTTCGGGCTTAACTGGTGAAAACTAGATCATCTGCCCATGTACTCGGTACCCCGGGAGTAATGGTTGCAATGTTAATATTAGCTGTGTATTATGTCTGTCTGTTTGTATTAAAGGCTTTGCATTTGTACAAATACACATACATACCTACATATGTATATTAAACAGTAAGGAGAAACCGTACAGAGCTCCACAAGTTTATACATAAATTGAATATTTACCATGGATGACCTCTGATAACTGTGTAAGATTAAAGTAAGATTAGGATATAACTAATAGATAACAAGTAAGTTAATTAAATATACAGACGCCGATTAATAACTATCTCATTGATAACGCAACTAAGTCCACGATGCACATACTACGACATACAAATTACTTAGTAGCCAGGTACACACACATAGTATATGTACTTGTAATGCCGATAACCCAAATTCAATATTTATGATTATTGATTTAAATCATGGACAGCACTTTTACGACAACTATTTCGTTAGATAAGTCGCGTATACTAATTTAATTTTATAATGCTTTTATTTATTGGTCAATTTGGTAATTAAAGTATCTACAGAATGTGGGTTAATTTGTCGAAATACTCAGAACACCTTTATAATGTGAATACCGGGGCCTAGTCTATCATTTATTTGTTTTCCTTAACCGAACCTGAGAACCGAATCTACAGTTTTGACGAATTTCCCGTAGACAGACAACAATGGTATCGATACTGACCACGAAAACCAAAAATATATTTCGGAGAAACACATAGCTACCTAGTTAGGTAGGTACCTACAAGCATTTTCTGATACATTATCCTTAAAACTTCAATACTTTTAATCTTCTACAATCTACTTATAGCTAGCCAAGTTATTTAGTACCTATACAGACAAGAAAATAAAGATTGCACCAATGACATTGTACCGTCACTGAAACTAACTATACAATTATAAATATTGTTGTTGTTCTACTATATCGTTTTAAGTGTGGGAGAGCCATGCTTCGGCACGAATGGGCCGGCTCGACCGGAGTAATACTACAGCCGAGCAGAAATCCGACGTGAAACAACGATTGCACTGTGTTTCGTCGTATAAGTGAGGTTACCGATGGCCCGATTGCTCTCCCTGCCCAGGCTTCCCAATCCCCGAATCCTCCACAATCCTAAAATTCTCAATTCCCAAAAGGCCGGTAACGCCTTGGTGTTTCAGGTGTCCATGGGCTACTCCGATTGCTTACCATCAGGTGAACCGTCGGCTCGTATGGGCTTGCCATTTAAAAAAATCGTACACAAGAGCGTACGTTGTGTGTGTGAGGTGTATACTCTCTCTGAACTAGATGAACCTTTATTTTGTCACTTGCATTGCAAATGACTTGGCTGACTGCGTATATTATACTGAATGAGTTATCGATTTGATGAAATTGTTGGAAAACTCTAAATATACATGAATACATGTGGTACACGTGTCACAGTTGTTGTGTAGCGGCGAGCGTGTCATTACGTGTGCATTGTGGGCCGCCCGCCATCATGTACGAGCTCACCGAAACTGTTGTACTTACACATGTTGTTGTTGTTGATTGTAATCATATTATTATCGCACCTGTAACTACTTTTATGTATACGTTTATTACCTGGTAAATTGATAGGAACTTATGATTAAACTGTCAAACACCAAGCGGTCACCGGTGACCGCAACCTATTGTTCTATAATTGTGTCTACAAAACCGGTACTTGACGAGTTAATGTAAATTTTATAGAACACTTAATTTACATAAGGTTCGAAAATTAGAAGCAACAAATAAGTGGTCACTGATTTCTTTGGCTACGGTTATAAATTACTAGCACTCAGTGACATTATAAAACAATCCATTGCAATAAGCAAGAAACATAACCATCTTTAATAAAGTATAAACTAAGTAAAGTTCTATATGACATATACATAAAAAATTAAACATTATACAGCGGTGGGTGTTACATTGTACAGTGGCATTAAGTGCCGTAATGTGCACCTCTGCCTACCCCTTCGGGGGGAAAGTCACATACGCAATGACCTAGTATAATGAATAATTACTCGTGACTAAAGTGATTCTAAATATCTATTGCAGAAAGCCGTGAGCAATGAACCACATGGATCATATGGACCACATGGACCACGGCCAGCACCCCGGCCACGATGGACACGACGGCCACGACATGCACGACGACCCCTGCGCACACGCAGGCCACGGACACGCCATGGTGGTGAGTACAATCTACATAGATATTTCAAATGAGATTTAAAAAGCTAAAATTAAGTATTACAATGCCCCTCGGCCTTTTCCCAGCTATTTTTGAAGTCGGCACTAAGTCTAAACCAGATTTGGCTGAATACCTAACAGAATTTTTCAAATAGAGCAACTGTCATCTGCCTTCTGTACTACAAACTATCATCTACCAATAATGATACCGCATTCCTAGTTAGAACCATTTACAAAAAAATTACGCTTCTTAGCTAAACCAACTATCGTAGATATTAATATATTAAATAAAACATAGGTATTTGAAGCGAAATATTTACTCTACATAACTCAAAATATTACGTAACATGGAGTTTGCACACACACCTACATAATTATACATATTTATGTAAATAGGAAAATGTGTGTCAATAAACTGTAGACTAGACGAGACTAGTAGCCGGCTATCATTCATTTCATAATATGTTGATACTTTGATAGTTGAATACTACATATTTGTTGTTATCAGTCCCTTATCACCTGCGGTCTGCGGCCACTCTTTTGCCATTGATAGGAGTTAGACTCCACTCGGTAACTATCGGTTTGTGGTGACAGGAAGTGACGTAACTATTCAAAGTAATGTCTAATGAAATGAAATGAAATGAAATGAAATGAAATGAAAAATGTTTATTCGGCATAAGACATGCACGCCAGAAAAGACATAAATATAAAAAAAGCATAAAAACAGAAAAATTAAAAGATAAAAGTTAAATTATAAAACGAAAACTAAAGCAAGCCAATAAGCCATTCAAGTGCGCGGTGTTGGCGGACATGTCCAATCCGAACGGGTCACCAACTCAGCATAAAGCTGGGCACAATGAGCACCCAACACTGATTTTCAGTTGGCACTAGGGTTGCCACCTTTTTCTTTCGTATGTAAAGTACATTGACGATTATAGATAAGAAAAAAAAGTACACAGTACAAAAATAAAGTACAATTTATTCTTATTTAGTATTATATTTAAAAATATATTCTTTATTGCTTTTTGCAGTTTGTATTAAATTAGTACCTTTACTAAACAATTGCATTGAAATACTAAACAATTGCATCTTTACTAGAAATTGTCTAAGTGGCGCTGGCGAATTATCGATTCAACATAAATCGATAAATATCAATATCGAATCGATAAGTTTACCGAAAAATACTTACGACTTTAATAGAAATGAAGTTTGCAAAAATAAAGTATTTTCGTGTACTTTATTCTTCTTATAAAGTATAGAGTACAATTACCTTAAAGGTCTAGTTGTGTATAAATAAACTGCGAAGTGTAATTGTAAAGTTTAACGCGTGCGCAGCCACGTGTGAGAAACTAAGTTTTTTATGTTTACCACTTAGCGCACCGCAATTTTTGTCACATATTAGCTAGCTGTAGCTACCAGCTAAGCCCTACTATTGAATGAGTAGTGCTATCGACTGTTAAATGTATGTACCTACGTTTAACATAAAAATCGCAGCTGTACACACGCACGGTACGAATGAATACGAATACCGTCCAAAACGCCTGCACGATATATAATGAGATTTTTCTCTCTCATTTTCCTCTTCACAATGTTACAAATTGATTACGCCTAATGTATGCAAATGTAGATTATTATTGCGAATTTCCCGTCGTTCGCGGTGCAGCGCCCGCGCATACGATAAACACGCACATTCCTTCACGATTGTACTGAAACTGAGAAATTCGTGTCTGTATGTCAGTCGGTGTGTTTGTTTGTCACCACACTGCCACCGGCGCGCGCGCAGTTTCCTGTGACACCTTTATGACAGTTATCATTCTCCATTACGAATTAGAGAATTTATGCAAAATATATATTTTTTCAATATTACACACATACAGAGCCTGCCTTTCAAGAACATAATACACAAGAGACAAGATATTAAATTGAACTAGCAAGCAGTGAGTAGGTCACTTACCTGTACATTATTTAAGCAATTTAAAATTTTGAAAATAATCCTCAAAATAGGTACTTTTTTTATGCCATAAGCCGGTAAACGAGCAGACGGATCACCCGATGGTAAGCAATCGGCGTCGCCCATGGACACCTGGAGCACCAGAGGCGTTACAAGTGCGTTACCGGCGTTTTGCGGATTAGGAGTTTGAGGATCGTTAGAAATTCAGTGATTGGGGAGACTGGGGAAAGGGAGGGTAATTGGGCCTTCGGTAACCTCACTCACACGACGAAACACAACTTTACAACTATAGTATATACAGATAATACAGATGTGTATTTGTTGAGGCCTCGACCCCGAACTCATTTCTTCGTCATTCATACGTTTAATATTCCAGTGTTAGCTAAGTAGTCGCTCGTCGGATCTAACTGGAGTATGTTGACATCATATCGTGAGAAACGCATTGTTATGCAAGAATCGTAAAAGGAAACGTCTGCCACTCATTCAGTAATTTTAGGAAAATAAATAAAGTGAATTCTAATATCTTGACCCGAGTTCGTGTGAAAGCGTTTATGTAACTCACAGGCATACAAGTCCTGTGTTTCTTTATTAGGTACTAGCTTTTACCCGCGGTTTCGCTCGCGTCACAAAAGGATAAAAAGTAGCCTATGTGACATAATTATATCAATACACACAGCGCCATCTATATCAATACTTTTGTTTTCTCTCGGGAATATCAAATTTTTCCGGGATAAAACGTACCCTATTATTTAATCCAGACTTCTAACTTTACGTCTGCAAAAATTTAAAGCAATCGGTTTAGTAGTTACGGCGTGAAAGCGGAACAAACAAACAAACTCACTTTCCGATTTATACCTAATATTAGTAAGGAATTATTGCAAAAAATCTTGAAAGAGATTTCGTTTAATAAAATTATATTGCAGACCTAATACTTAAGTCTTTCCATTTTTGAATTTCTTTAAATTAATCTTCTTAATTTTCCACTTCCAGTTCCACGCAGGCGTGTGCCAGGAGATCCTGTTCAGCGGTTGGATGACAACCAACGCGCTGGAGCTGTTCGGGTCAGCAGTGGCTATCTTCTTCGCCGGAGTGTTATATGAGGGCCTCAAGTACTTCCGTGAGGCCCTGCACGCAAGGGCTTCGTCCTCCACCGGCGACTCCAGGGTCAACATCACCAAGAGCGAGTGCGGAGCTAACGGACCCTGCGGGGGAACTGCTGTCGTCAAGTGAGTCAGGAGAACTTGTATTAAGGAGCGTGTCATGTAAAAGCCAAAAGATAAATTTTGTTACGTAATATTTCATTAAGTAAAAATCGCCTTGGCCCGTAGTCATCTAATTAATTACTTCAGCAATTCAATTACTAGGTTCAGTTAGTGTACTCTAGATTTATGTGTCGATCACTCGTCGGCCGGCGCGCGGAGCGGCGCGGTGTGGACATTAATTACTCTAATGTCGAACGCGTCCGTCTGCTGTCGAATGACACACGACAGGCCAATTAATTAACAACCGAATTAGGGTTGCCACCCGTACTTTATAATAAAGTATTGTACGTTATTTAAGGTAATTGTACTCTATACTTTATAAGAATAATAAAGTACACGAAAATACTTTATTTTTGCAAAATTCGATATCGATATTTATCGACTTATGTTGAATCGATTCGCCACTCGCCAGCGCCACTTAGACAATTTCTAGTAAAGATACAATTGTTTAGTATGTCATTGCAATTGTTTAGTAAAGATACTAATTTTATACAAACTGCAAAAAGCAATAAAAAGTATAATTTTAAATATAATACTAAATAAGAATAAATTGTACTTTATTTTTGTACTGTGTACTTTTTTTCTTACCTATAATCGTCAATGTACTTTAAATACCAAAATAAAAGGTGGCAACCCTAAACCGAATCTAAATTAGCAAGGAGTGTTATATCTTCTGGACATAGTTTAATAGTTAGTCAAACAATAAGTTTTCGTTTGAGCAATCGGTACAATTTAAAACGCTTTTTAATAGGTATTTGCAAAAAGTTCTACCAGCTATGGATACAGAAATATATGAGACGTTTGTACCTTCCAGATACACGATGTTCTCGTCGGGCCACGTGATACAGACGTTGCTACACTTCCTACAGTCGACCGCTTCCTACACGCTGATGTTGGTGTTCATGACGTACAACGTGTGGCTTTGCATCGCGCTGGTGCTGGGCCTGGCTGTCGGATACTTCTTCTTCGGCTGGCGGAAGAACACCGTCGTGGACGTCAACGAACACTGTCAATGATGCTCAACTTTATGGAATGGCTTCAGACCCTCAGTTTTCATTCGAAGATTTCGTGACATACCGACCGCACATGTGCTTAACCGCACAATCAATTTAGTTTTCATGAAACGATGTATGATGCGACTTAGTCGCAAGCGTGTGGTCGCACTTTGTATTGGTCTGTGCTTGCTTTATATAAGTACACATTTCTTCTTCTTAAGTTCAAATCAGAAGCATTAGCATGCTCGCAGAAAGACTCAGAACTCGCTTAACTCACCTCCTAAAAACGTGCGTAGAGAAACAGTAAAAAATTAATGACATGTGCAGAACTACTTCCGCGATATGTTTGATTAGAAATTCACGTTGTATTTGCTTGATTTCTAATCTTACAAATCGGTAGTAGCTGGCTACTCATTGCAATGTTATTTTTAAAGGACGTAAACCATGAAAAAGTGAATTATATTAAATGCTTGCTAACCCACTACAGGAGCACAGACCTGAACTAGTTATAAAAGAGAGCTATCGATATCTGCCGTCGTCACTGTTTTATAAGAAAGTCTACAAAAGCCATCCCAATGAAAGTGATTTGTTAAAGACACCCATTGATATTGTATTAATTAATGATATACTATACGTATGTACCTAGGTAACGTAGGCAGGTACTGTCTCTGTAAAGGCTGTCTATATATTCCATTTTTTGTATTTGCAATATTAGTTAGATATTAGTTAGGTCTTAGTGTAATTAATGTAAGATAGAAGTAGGTAATTTAATTCTAAGAATAAAAATGGTTGTTTCTGTGCCGATAAAAATTGGATTTAACTTCAAAAAGTACCATAGTTACATGAAATAAAGCATTACCTACTTACGTTAAGCAATTCGACTGCATGAAATGTACATGTTCATAGATACGACAATGCATATAAAAGTACGTAAATATAGATATTACTGCGAAACAGTAACTGATACGTCAATATGTCTACTTTCAACAAAATTTTCAAAGCAATACAAGCCGTTTAAATTGTTATTACCTTATACTAATATCTTACCTATTTCTAAACTATTTATAAGTAGATAATTATGTGATATTCAGCTATAATATTATTGTTAATGTATTATTCGAAGAAATTGTAAACATACAACATTCCTAAGTTTATCTTGGAATTGATAAAAATTCATATGTTTTAAGTGCCTGTTTAAAATTAAGTAAACTCTGAAATATATCACGTTGACATACTATCTTTGACCTTCGATGACCGAAGGCTACAACACTTTTTATTCAGAACACAATAGCACCTCTGGTGCAGCAGACGTTCATAGACTACTTCCATCAGGGGATCATAGGGTTAACTTTACGGTATAAAACACTATTGTATCTAAGTATATCTGTAGGTACTAAATGTACCGAGGACCAGTTTATACTCCTTAGGTATTAATTATTCAGTCCTCTATAAGAGAATGGAGCAAATCCATCTTCTAAGACCATGTAGTGCATAGTCCCTACGTGTGGCAGCTCCCCTGGTCACCAGGGTAGAAGGACTAAGTACAACAATATGTCCATTCCACATAGCAGCCTCCATGTTGAAATATTTGTACGTATTTTGTAACAATAGGAATCAATACAGTTAAGTTATATTAAGCACCAACAGTTTCTTGCCATGCCTGGATATCGTGTAATAAAACTTGTGTACAATACTTACGACTTATTTGTTTCCTTTTCATTCTAAGTTACCTACTTAGTAGCATTTTCAACCCATCGTGTGTCTAAACGTGGGTCCCCGCGAGGCACAATGTATGTTCTATTGGGTCTCATATCGGTGCATTCAAAAGGTTACTCGCTGCCACTGTTCTATGCTATACCTACTGTCGCGGAGAACTTAACAGGTTAACGGCGCTCCGGCTCGAAGTGCAGGAGAAGGAACGGGGTGGTTTTTAGTCAGTAAGAGTCTGACACTACCTCCCGCCTCATCCAGCGGTCGATGATTTTCCCCCTTAAAAAAAATGCACGCCTTTTATCCCCGAAGGGGTAGGCAGAGGTGCACATTACGGCACTTAATACCACTGTACAATAATGTAACACCCACTTTTCACTATTTATGTTATGAGTCCCGTATAATAGGGGATGAGCCTACCTATTGCCATATACCGGGCACAATTCCGTGCTACTACTGATAATTTAAAAAAACCAGTAACGTTTTGCCCGGCCCAGGAATCGAACATGAAACCCCTTGCCTGGCAGTCGCACTTAAGACCACTCGGCTAACGTAGCAGTCTATTTATACAAACCTGATATTTACTGTTGGGTGAATCACAAAAGTAAGGTTCATTCCCATCTTCCCACACAAATCTTCCCCATAAAGGAGAAAATAGGAATATCCGCTAGTCTGTCCGCAACCTACTTACTGTAGGGTCCTGAACAAACGAATGAGCTATAATACATATTCCTATTGAGGTTCTATAGTACCTACATATGAACACTGAACAGCGTTCCCCATAAGTCCAATTAAACCGTTAGTCGAGTAATTGAACATCGAAAGCCGACTAATGAAGTCTTGCACCCAAATGGATACCTACTTTCCTTAATCAAAATTAGGTAATTATTTCAAAAAATTAAAAAATAATCACACTTACATTAAGTGATTTCATGACCAACTTAATTTTAGTATTTTTCCAGCAATGTTTTAAGAAATAAGAAAGTATGCTGTTTGACGCTAAAAAACATGACGTCACAATACACAATCTTGTACAAAATTCAGAGAAAACTGTTCAAAAAAGTATTGAAATTGACTATTTGGCAAGTACCCAATTGGAACTGGAGACATTCAGAGGAAACTCGAAATAGACACCGATGCAGTAAAAAAGGAAAAAACTAGGAAAGAAATAGGTAATTAGAAATACCTGCCAAGTCTGCAAACTCGAAATAAAAACAGTTTATAAAGGTAAATGTGACTTGAAAGAATGCGCTGGCGCAGCGTGCGTTTACAGAGCAACCAGTCGCAACACTACGCTGTGCTAGTTCAATTCTAAAACTTACTGTCCATTATCTAATAAATTAGATTGGAGATACCTGCTCAAACTCCGGTAGATATCTCGTATTACAAAAAGCATTATCGTACCGGAATTCCCGGGTCCATAATTAATTGACTGGGTCATTATAGGTATGTTGATGGCTAATGAACTGTATAGGTAAGATCTATTATCTTATCTAACTGTAATAAGTACTAAAATGAACAATTCCGGGACTGACGTGTCCTACTGAAACCTAAACTAAACAATGTCTTACAGGTAGTTACCTAACAAATGTTGATATGTTATGGATAAACAAGAACCTGTTTGTTAACAAAACATTACATAATTTAACGGATGTACAAAGGTGCCTATAATTGCATCACTTCTAGTGTGCATTTGACATAGGTAGGTAATTTAGGTACTTGGTAGTTGTGATGTGACACAATCTTTAAATTCACACTAGAATTCGTAAAACGCAAACGTATCGACAACTGCCAAGCAGGTCAGAAGTCAGAGGTACTAATCTATCTAGGATCCTTTCTAGTCGTTTTACAAACAGAGCTTTAATAAATTGTAGGTAGGTAATCATCGCGTAATGATAGAAATAGAAATAGTAATCTCAATGTAAAACGCTAAGGCCTCATTTAGTTATGCTAACTGAAGGAATGTTATAGGAACTAAGCTCGCTAATTTATAAAGTAAACATTATTGTATAAACGGGGTCGTTAAACATCTGGCGTCCGGTTTTAGCGGATTTCAGTGACGTAGTTCAATCGTTCAAATAATATACGTACGTAAGCCCAAATTAATAACGGAATCCTGGTTGCGATTAATACTGGCTTGTAGATAACATATTAATATTATATTAATCGATTAACTCATCAACACTAAAACATCGTTATCACTCTGCATTATGAATGAAGATTTTCGTAGCTGGACTTGAGAGTACCACACATTCATACCCTTGGGCTATCTATTTCTTGTACTGTGCACATACGTGCTTAAATGCATCAATGTGTGCGTACGTCAACATTCCGTTCAAAAACGCTGCCAAAATATTACACTGAAAAAACAAATTACGCTTTGCCCTGAGGCATTACTTGAAATAATTACATTTATTTAACGTTTTAGATCACAATTGCTCGTTTCAATGAAATGAATATAAAAATAAAAAGAAGTCGTAAATAGGAGTGTTTTTGAAGTAAAATCAGAAAACAGGTTCGAAGTTTTGTTTAATGTCAACATAACCAAAACGAGTGTTTCCGAACGAAACCAATGTCATGTCAAGTAAAATGTGACGGGAGAGGGTCCCATGTTTTGCCTTTTGTAAATTTACTTGTTGATTTTAAATAAGAATTTAATGAGAATTTAGTGAACAATTGTTATATCGCGACCAGGATAGCTATGTTATAGTTGTATAAGTGCACAAAGTGTTGGCGACTCATCGTACCGCCTCTACAGCCGCCGATTGTTCAGGTAACGGGATTTATTTATGACAACGTCGATATTTTCTTGGAAACGTTTACTTGTTTGGTTTTTATTTATTGTAATCTGTTAATATGACCTTTGACTTGATAATTAGTAACAGTAGTTGCAAATAATTGTGTTTGTGTACGCAGTGATTACGTTGTGTAAATTTGGGCGACATTCGAATTTCGCGAAGCGGAACTAGAGAGAATGACAAGTGCACGGGCGTGCTGACCTGCTGATGTTCCATGAAGTTGTTAAACAATGTATCTGTATTTGCTTGTCATAGTAAAAACAGTAATTTTTAGCTTCGGTTTATTTGACAACAGATTATAATTATTTAACATGTACAGTAACAGACCTCTTTATTTACTTCTCTTCCGGAAACACGAGTTTGTACAGGTCATTATCATCATGGTCCTCCTCCTCCTCCTTGCTATTGAGCATATCTTCAGTTTCCTCTTCTGTAACCTCGTGTGCTCTGTGGAATCTTGTATAAACTTTGTCCCAGAACTTTAGCCGTGGATTACGGTGTGGTGACACTGTCAGCCGGGTCGGACCCAGGTGTAGTACTTGCACGTCTGATATGTGGATCTGGGAGTCTCCCTCAGTATGCACTGGCTGCCATATTAAAGGAATGAATGCCGTGGTCAGTGGTGTGGGGTCTCTGAAACATAATATTTATATATTCTCAAGAAGACATCCAAACATTATTAATGCATCATTGCTTTCCACCAGGCGAGATAGTGGCAAAATGTGGGTCAAAAAAAATTAAAAACAATGACAACTTTTAATAAGGAAAGAACTCAATACATATAAAGATAATAATGTTTAAAACCAAAAGACATTATTATGTTATATTTATGTCTCACAAAAGCTATACTACAAATACTTTCATGTAGGGGCTAGGACACATTTATATAAGACTACACACATAAAACTAAAAAATATGTAAACAATATAACCAGACAGATGTGTACATACCCTAATGTTTTGAAGTTCCTTAACAACATTGTTACTAGTTCACCAAATATGTTGGTTTGTGCTTTATCTTTATGCAAGTAGTCGAGTATTGTGTCCAAATTGGTTGTCTCTGGCTTATCCGAGTCTTCATTTACCTTAGGCAAAGTGAATTTCATGACATACACTGGGTATGTACTCTTGGCTGCAAACATCATTGCCAACTTGATAATAGGGTAATCCACCAAAATGTCCTGTGCGTAGTAAGCATAGTTGTGCACCATGCTGTTTCTAGTAAAGTCCTCGGGAAAATAAAACTTTTTCACTATCTTTGCTACTTCACTTTTAACTTTTTCACTTTTAAATTCCAAGTTGTGTGGAAGTAAGTATTCGAAATGGTCTGGAGGCTTTTCAAACTTCTTTAGATCAGTTCCAAGAATAGATGCGTTGTCTCTTGGTGTAAATGTGATTATCATGGGCACATTGGTAAATAATCCGTCTTCCAACTTCCGCATGGGATCTACGTCTATGAGGTTATGAACACTATCTGTTGTGTTGTCAACACAAGGACGGAATATTTCAGGGATTGTTACCAGCTCTTTATCCGAAGCTTTTAGGTAAAACTGGAACAGTTCGTCTGGGTCATCTGAGCCTGTGTATCCCAAAAATGAGGCTCCAGTATAGGCTGTACCGAGGGGATCATACGTGAGGGCGGCAGGAGACAGCACTGACCCTGACTCTAGAATAACTTTATGTAAAAATCCTTCAACTAGTTCAGACAATAGAATCAACTGTACAGCGACGGCAGCTGCCTCCGTAGCATACACAGTGACGTCTTGAGGGTTTCCGCCAAACTGATGGATATTTCTGTGTACCCAGTACAGGGCTGCTATCTGGTCTTTCAGCCCTGCGTTCCCTGGGACATCAGGAGTCCTGAGACACAGGAAACCTAGACTTCCGAGCCGGTAATTGAATGTCACGATCACATTGTTGCCCTCCTCGAGGAACAGAGCGGGAGGTCGGTGCGCGCCCCATCTGAAAACATTTCTCTTTTATTTCCGTAGTACGGAAGCTAACTATCTTATCAATATGCAAATTGCAAGTTGATAGAATATGTTTTTCTAAAGCTATAGCTTTTATATTCGTAACACTGGCAGTAGTAACTAAAAGCGTTGGCTCAACATACAAAAAGTATTCTTCCCTACTTATGCTACTGAAAAGGTAACGTCATACGAATGACGTCATTGTATGGTTTTTAATAAAGTATCGGCACGAAGTTTGTCTCCTAACTAACATCCGCATCTGTAATAGAATGTAGTTTCGGAAATTCCCAGTCTGTGAATAAGGTCGTTGTCGGCTACCTACGTGACCGCCGAGCTTTAAAGCCAACCTCAAAGCTATAATACTTCTATATTCTTAATTTAGACATTATTAATCTTATTAATTAAGTTGAACATGCTGACACAGTAAATATTATTTAGTAATAACAGAATATTATTTCTAGAAATAAAAAAGTATCAGTATTACTTTGATTTTCAGTAAACATTAACAAAAAAATCATGCGCGTACTCAAGGATATCATATCACTAGATATAAATAGATACACAATTAGAATAACATCAAAATGTGACGACTATATTTATATAACCGGCGTACAGACGTGAATGCTCACTAAATAATTTAACAACATTAGGTATACATTACCCGCTCTGCAAGTCTCCGCCGTGAACAAACACGACGACAGGCAGCAATGTAGCATCTTGCTTTTGTGGTGTGAATATGTTAACGACCAGGCAATTTTCATCTCCATCAGCTTTAACTTGGGGACACTTTATCTTATGCAGGGCTTCGAAGATGCCGCCCCACTTGGGTGGAGGTTGGGGGTCCTAAATAAACAGTACTTAAAGCCTAAATATTATTATTAGTTGTATTACGGTCTGATGCAACTGATGATGAAACTTAATAAGCAAGGGGTAATCTTAATAAATAAGGTATCTGTTTTATAAGACCAATGAAAAAATGGGAATAGTTACAGTATATTTAAAATCACAAATGAAGTTGCATACCTAGTTATAAAAAAATAATAATTTTGTAAACCATTGGGACAAATCAGAATTAGGTATGTAGGTACTAGATACGAAATGCTCTAGATTGTTTTCTAATGTAGGTACGTCTTTTTTGACAAATCAGCAATAAAAGGAACCACTTCCATCTCGTACAGCGAATTTTGTCGCTTAAAGGTACTGTAATAAGTAATGTAATATGGTATATGTTGACATCATTACGTTTATTTACGTAATTACGTCACACGTTGACACACAGAATGGATCCGGAATCTAATTTTATTGTAAGAGCGCGCTGCCATCCCTGCGAGGGAACCAATCTGCGCGAGTTCAATTCCCACTTGACCTAATTATGGCAAAATCCTTTCAGGTGTTCAAAATATTTACCTGTACAATAAGAAAATAAAATAATAAATAACAAAATAATTGTGCGTGCGATTTTTAGATCTACAAGCTACGATGATAAAAGCTGCTGACTATTATCCGAATAAGCTCATTCTCTTACACTAAATTAATCTCCATGACCTTTTGATATTTACTACCCGTCCACATAACTCCCTACCCTAAATTTTAATTTACTATGCAGTAACTCAGTTAATGACAGAAAAGGCGAAGTTCATTAATAAGTTGCAGACAAAGTGCCTAAACTCTCCGTATAACAACGTTGCCACAAAAACCCATGGTGTATTCAACATACACTTTCTCCCGCTATCATAGACAAAGTTCTACCCAATGGTTAAACATTACATCCAATGTTTAAACACACTACAAAATGTCCTGTATCCACATCCACAACTGTATTTGCGTTTATCAACAAATGAACCAGCTGACCTTAAACCTGTCGCCTTGCGTGAGCGACCCTGCGTAAGGGATACCGTAGTACGCAAAGTGGGGTGGGTTGAAGGCGAGGTACCCCCGCACCGTGCCCTGCAGGGTGACCACGTCGCGGTGCACCCGCGGCACCGGGGTGGGCCGCGCTACGGCTACGTACGTCACTGTGCTCACTGTCAACACTACACCAACCGCCCCGAGCCGCATAGCCGAGCTTCGCGAGGCTCTACTCCATTTCGGAGTCCCGTGTATGTGTCGCGGCCAGTAAGCCGTCCAGTTTATGTGTCGACTTGTCGACAGACGCGGATATCAAAACAGCCGGCGACTACATAATCAAAACATTGACACATGAAACGGTGGATTATTTACGATTATGACTCAGTACTCGTATTCCTAAACACTCCAAATACAATAGCTTCTGATTATCGCTACTGAAGATCCGTTATCGACTATAAACAATTTATTTACAGATTTTAGTAGCTTTACTAACACCAAATGCGGTTTTATTAAATCTGTAATAGTTCTTTGGTGAAATAAATACCACTAGTTACTCAGAATAAGAGAAGACCAGAGACTCGCATTATGTACTTACGTGTTGTGTATCAAAACAACTAAAATATGTGTACATGATTTAATCAAAATATACCTTCATATTATTTAAAGTACATGGCTTTTGTCACGGTGAATTAACAACTAATTAGCATCAAGTCATTGTTAAACTGATCCCTCAGAAGAAATGCCAGGCGTGCCTAAAGAATGTGATAAAGAACACAGCCTGAAGGAGGAGGACGGTGCAGACGCTGGGAGACATCCCGTAGGCGAGGCTCTTCTCTATGAAGTACTCCTTGTATATCTCAGTCCACAGCGTCATGCGCTCCACATGCACGCCCTTTGACGGAGTCACGTCGGTGTCGATCGATAGCCAGTGTTCTTCGGAAGGGTCCTCGTTGTCAAACTTCTCCCAAGTTATGTCGGTGGAGGTCGGTGTACTGTGAAATATAAATACGTACGTGTTTTATAAATCATACCCTCTTTAGACGTGCGACTTCCTGGAAAGCATTATTGTTTATTTCTGATCTCAAAATTCCCAATAAGAAAGATCTAACATTGCACCTGGTGTTAGGTTTTGACGTGCATCCAATTACAATGATACTTAATGTATATGATAACTGATTTGACTACTTCGGTGGTAGAAGTAAGCGCCAGGACCTAATCAAATTTTTAGTGGCTCGATTTTTTGAAAATTATTTTATCACAGCACTGAGTTAAGAATAGTCGCCAGTATATGGAAATAGTATGACTCCTATAACTAGCAAGAGGTGGGTGCTACATTGTCTTGATGCACTACTCCTTCGGGGATTGGATTAGGATGTGATGTATGAACGTACCTATAAATATATAACTATGAATCCTATGTATAGTACGGCACGTTGTAATTATCACTGCGCCACTATTATCTCGTAATATATCACCATCACCATATTACAGAGATAAACCGCTACACTGCATATACTACAACGATACGTTCTTGTCTATTGCTTCATTTCTCTATTTACTAACTACTTTTGCCATGGTCAAGTTACTTCGTAATCGTAACTACAGTTCAACAAATGGTTCAGTGTGACTTGTGAGTCCCCTTACGCAAATGTGACTGTACAGACGGCACAAGACATACGGTACCTAATTATGATTGAACATTAGGAATTGTAAAATACTGGCACCTCTTAGCCAATATATATACTTTATCACATTGCTACAATTATGGCAGATCACATTCGCTTTTTTGGTTAATAATAAATATATTACCCTGTATTGATGAAACTGGTCCATAATTCGACTAGACACTCCACCATTGATCGCTCGGCTGTATTTTCGGCTGGCGCGACTCCATCTTGCATGAAAATGTAACCAATGAGGTCACCCCTCACTGCACCCTCTACCGGGCTTTCAATAGCATGCGATTCCCTGTTAAATTCACCAACAAAAGAAAATTCATAGAAGTATACCGTTGCACCAGAGCCAACCAACGGTCGAGCAGTGCGCATTGCAGGACCAAGATATGCAGCGTCCGTATAATACAGTGTCAGTCGTTCCGCACTGCTCAGGCTAATAGTGTCCTCACCAAAATATTCATTTTTTACTCTATTGCCTATTCTTGTTCTTTCGTCGTCGCTTGTGAAGTGTAAATCGTTTGGCAACAAGAGACCGACGTCTTCATTCAACTCCTGAACAGTTTGTTGTGTAAGACTTAAAAATTCATGGACGCCAGCATACTTGGCCGTACCCATCATAAAGGGGATTTTAATTTCTTTGTTTTCCATAACTTTCCATGGAGTTTCAGTCATAAAAGGTTTATCAGTTTTTTCTAAACATGGTCTCAACGCAACGGTTTCTGCAGCTTTCAATAATGGTTTTAGATCTACATCCTCAAATGATTTAAAATTTTCAATCTTACTGGATAAGCGTGTTGCAGTATCGATGGGATCTCTATCTATTGCCCAATGAGATAAAACTGAACCACTTTCTATGATAACTTTGTGGACATTCTCATATGACATCGGAGACAGTGCCAGATATCCAGCCAATGCACCCGCGGTACCAATGCCACTTACTGCCACATTTCCAGGGTTTCCACCAAATTTCTCAATGTTCGTTTTTACCCATGTCAACGCTAAAGACAAGTCTTTTAAAGCTGCGTTACCGGGAGCAGTTTTATCTTGCATACAGAGGAATCCGAGCGGTCCTAGTCTATAATTAGGTAACACCAGGATTATTTGTTTTGCTGTTAAATATTCTGGACCGTATATTTTAGGATTGGCGCTTTCTCCAATAAAATTCCCCTCGTGGATGTGAACAAGGACACTCGCATTTTTAACATTCGGTGGTTTGAAGATGCTCAATGTCAGACAGTCTGTATCTCCGACAACTTTATTATCTTGTAGCTGCGGACATCGGGATGCATGTTCTTTAATTTCATGAACTGTATTTGATCTGTTTGGTGCTACTGGAGCCTGGAAGATAAATAAAAAAAAATAAAAAATGACAGTTTAAACAAATAACCGAAAGTGAGGAATTGTACCAAGAGAATTAGTTTCAATATTTGGTATGTCTCTCTCCAGAGACAGTCGGGTAAATGTAAGTGAAAGTACGAAACACCAACAATGGTGTCTTTACACTCCGAGCGAGTTAATATCCACTGAAGCTCAACTTCCTATATTGCAGAGAGTTTCAGCACCAATGGTGTAGAGAGAGCCCTAAAATATGCGAGAAGTAAAACTGTGACACAAACAGAAGGTGTGAAAAACACCGTCATTGGCGAAAATGTAGATATAAGTAAGATGCAGTGATAAAAATTGGAAAAGGAATATCAAGATGATCATATTGAAAGGATGTCTGCTAAAAGATTTACGAAAGATATTTATTGAGCGAGCATGGCTGGGAAAGTAGTTACGCCATAGATGGACGCATAGGCGATACTTTGAAAAACGGTCAAATTAAAACTACCCTCAGTCGAAATCATGCACGAAAATATTGAAGCGAAAGAGGTATGCCAAAGTCATGTAATTTGGCGTTCTATTGTCTCTAAATGATAATTGGTATGGGATAATAATATTAATAATATATGCTTTATTGTACACCACACAATTGTAATACAGGACAATATTTCCTAAAACAAAATAGTGTACAATGGGCGGTCTTATCGCACAAGGCGATTTCTTACAGACAACCTTTAGATGGAGCAGCAACAGGAGTCTGAAATAGGTCGTCAAGTGTACATTAATTAATAACTGTATAAAATACTATGCATACATACAAGAATACTAAAAATTAAATAATATATATAAAAAACAATGTATGATGGGATATGTAATGTAATGAAAAAATATTTTGATCCTTAGGTAAATAGCAAAATTTTTTAATCATACCTCAAATAGGCTGTTGAAAGTGCCGTATTTTATATCAATGTAGCTAATTATGTTTTCATTTTTCCGCCAGATATGACCACGTACTTTACCAGACGATGTGTCCACAACTAATTTCTCATCATTATTATCGTCACCTTCATTATTATCGTCACCATCATTACTATCGTGACTATTATCGTTACCGTTATTATTATCGTTACCATTATTCTCGTCACCCCCGTCATCGCCATCGTCGCCGGTTCTAATATGCAAACTTTCAGTGTCCATCCTCTTTTCTTTGTCGCCAATTGGCTCATTTGCGTATGCGACACTATTGCTATTAGAATAAGAGTTAGATTGTGTTGACATGAAAGGTTTTTCATTCGTTGTGTTATCGGTAACTGTTTCGTTCACTGCAAAATTCTCGGAATTTGTAATGGTGGGAACAAGCACTGAATTGGCCGTTTCATCGATGGCAGCAAGGCTGGTACCGTTCTGGTCACTGTGTATCCCATGTTCTACAGTGAGGTGCAGCGCTGACGTGGCTACCACTAGCACCGCATTTAACAAAGCTGTTCTCTTCCACCGCATTATATTTGTTGATGTATCGTTTTATTTTGCATTCCTAAAATCGAAGAATTTTAATAAGTTACAAGTCTCATACTGTAGAGGTAATGCACATAATATGACGTTTTAACTAACAGGTTAAAGTGGAGTCGAGTCGTAGTCGTAGCCAATTTCATATACTGCCCGGATCACCTGAATAGGCTCACTCTATTTTATTCACATAAGAAGTTTTCTTAATAAAGTGGCGAAAAGTTGACATGTAGTTGATCACGCTTGCTGAAGGCGGATGGATTGCGCTATTGTATACTGTAGTTACAACGTTGAAGAATAAAAGACGTAATATTATGTAAACAGTCATTTTGTCTGAAGAAGTAGTCAGTGAACGAATAAAAAGTTGACGTACCTGTCTGTGATGCTGTCGTGTGCCTGACGGCTCGTCCCCAACACACTAAAACTATGGTAAAGCGTGGCGAGGACTGAAAGATCGATGGTATGGGACTATCGCTCACAAAACTTAATGTTTATCTACTGATATAATTTGCGAGCCCTCTGCTCCAAGCTTCACTCGATAAAAAAACCCGGTATTGTGTAACAATACAGACATGTGCATGTACCGTTGTTGCATGGCAGAAAAGCAAAGGCCACTTTTGATTGTACACGTGGGAAGCTCCTGTTTGAAGTAATTAGTTACGTTCCCGCTTATTACAACGTGCTGTAGTATTTGCGTGAGGCGCTTACAAATGAGCAGCAAATAGACTAAAATACTAATTGTTTTACTGTACGTTATCTATAAGTGTAGACGGTTTACTGTAGTCCTAATGAGTATGGCAGTGATGTTTACACCAAATTATTATAGAACTTTCTTTAACTCGTCGAGTACCGGTTTTGTAGACACAATTATAGAACAATAGGTTGCGGTCACCGGTGACCGCTTGGTGTTTGACAGTTTAAACAGATTTGAGAATGCAAGCCTGTCAATGCACCGATTTTAATGTTCTAGTTTGACTGAAACAATATGGGGCTACTAGTCTCCACATTGTGTACACATACAAATGAGTTGAAACGCTTCGATTAACTAGGGATCAGGCAATCCATTAATGAGCCTTGGCGACCTTTAGGGTTCTTGAAATTTTTTACTATCTATTAGTTATGTAAGTTATTGATTTATTGGTTATAAAAGTAAGAAGCATAGCACACTTAGTATTTATTTATAATGTAATAGAAAGTTGATGTGAATCAAGCTTCAATTTATTTTGGGTCATATTTTGTTAGCGGCTGTACTAAGATTAGGCTACTTATCAGAGTTCAGTAATACCAATCGTTATCAGGCCCTCAAAGCTATGATAACAAAAGCTCTGCTATTTATTTTATACTGTATTACCTAGGTACATATGTTATTGATACTCATGGCGCCCAGGATTTTGACTGACGACGACTTTCAAACAAGTATAAGGAAAAGTGATATTTAGTTGTAACTGTTACCGTACTCTTGTATAATATCAATTACCAAAGCATTTCCAAATTCTGAAATCCCTATCCTCCTAACGGAAGACTTGAAATAATTGTGCAATACTTTTGTTACAGGTAAATTGTGCAGCACTTCTGCAATAGCATTGAAAACGTTCGGTAAGGCATTCGAACAACAATAAGAATAATCGTTAATACTTATATTTGGTGCTTAGTACATGCGTACGCAGGACACAAACTATGACGTCATAATTTTTGCGTCAAATTACCAAAACACGTTTTCCTGAATAACAACGTGCGTTATCGTAACATGAAACTGCTGTATCATGGAGTGGAAACCTAAATGTCAAACAACTTGTTCTTAGTTATTTGTTCATCGGTAATAAATAGTAATAATACTTAAGTAAACTGGGCTGGCTGGACTTGGCGAGTGCTTAAAAATCCCGAGTCCTGACAACTTTCTGTAAGACTTACCTTACGACTAATGATTAAAACCAGTAAACTGGATGTGCAGGCTAATGGGAATCGGGCTCTATAAGCTTTCCTCTTAGAAATTAACTGTCAATCGAATACCACACAGATTATCACATCACCTCCAGGTGACCTATTCAATATCTCAACTGTCTTTCTCACAGTTCCATGTGTCTTTTCGTTTGTGTTTTTGTTTGCGTGTTTGTAAATCCCTACACAAATAAATTGTACAATATTGTCCAATATCTAAATTGTGCAACCTTTCCGTTGTAGTCTTCGTGTACTATCGTGATTATTCTACCAGTTATACAACCTACAACTGCCGAAGTTTCCATTCATCCTTAAATTAGTACAAATAATTTGCATAAGTGAGTAGCCGAAGTACAGAAGTTAGGCTATTTTACTATTACGCATGATAGAAACATGCAGTGGGAATAATGTATCTATCGTGCAGTGAACAAGGCAATAACATTGCCATAATTGTCTTAATTAAACTCGTCATTAAAATCGCGTGCATTTCAGCGGATTTATACCTACAAATAACAAATAAATACATACTAAACTACTTAAGTACTCTTAACTCATAAAAAGGATGATTGAGAGATAAATTAATTTTAAACTGTTCTAGTCTAGAATCTACATTAGTTCTTCTCGTAACTTCGCCTGCAACCCATGGTGGTCGCAGGTCGCATGGCTTATCTAAATTATGAATGGCAGTTGCAGATATTAACTCAACAATACACACGGAATATCTTTATTACATCAATAATATGACAGTGGACTTCAATAACAATATATGTATGATCTTCTTTAAACTCATTCAACCTGATCTAATCAGGTGTAGCTTCTCCTGTTGCTTTTACCATCTATCATGTTGTCGTTATGGAGGTATCCAATGAGGAGTTCCTGAAAACAAAGTCAACGATTTAAAACTCTGTCTGCAATGCTGACACTTGCTAAATTAACTTATTAATTCCTTTCACGTTTTATTTGAGTTCAGAATAAGTTCTGAATGTACAATGCATATACCTTGCAATTTGTTCGATCATATTGAAGAACTTGATTGTGTGTTGTTGATACTTGTTCGGCAGTACGTTGTCGTGTACTGTCGGTTCCTGGATGTTCTCATAGTTCAAGTGATCTGCCTGCACTGGATACCAGCCCGGCTCGGAGCAGGATGGCTTACTGAAATGAAATAAAATTATTGTTTAAAATCTACAAAATGTTTATAACTGTTAGTTTTTCTGTTCCTATTAGTCTTAAACGATTTTCTGTATAAGTTGTAAACTTACTTGCAATGTATGAAGTCAACCACAAATTGAGTCATCCAATCCTTCATGGAGTCATCTCTACTGACGGGAGGGAAAGTCTGCCCGTCATCGAGAATTGCATTCCCGCGGAAAATATTAGTGAGGTCTTCAACATGCGCTGTGCCATTGTACTGCAGATTGAGACCTGCTTTCACCGTGCTGAAGTCTGCTTCGTAAGCGAACTGGTACAAGTAGACTGGTGCGGCATCGTGCAATCTAGCCCTCCACTCAACTACTTTAAATGCTGGATACATAAACAATGTATCTCTGCATACTTCTAAATAGTCCTCCATATTTAGTTCTCCGTGGAAGTACCAGTCAATTACTTTATTGGCCAGTGAGAGGGCTACATTAGGAAGGGTTGTAAATGGTATCTCAGGTCTTAAAATCACGAGTGGATTCGCTTTTATCCGACCCAAAATATCGATGTATAACAATCTTCTCTTAAAAAATTCGCACTCGTTGGTAGTGAAACCGACTATCATCGGATATTCTTTCCCTCGACCTTGCTCCATAAGTGTAATTGGGTCATCATCTACAATTCTCTCGAGTTCCAATTGTTTGTCTTCCCTCACTGGTACAAAGGAGACTATCCCCCCCTCGTATTGGTACACGGAGTTAGCATTTAAAATATCCTCGAGTGGAGTTTTAACAAGTCTGTCATGGATGAGATCCGGATCCGTGGAGTTGATCCCTAAGATTGTTAGAAATCTAGTAGCAGACTGTTTTGCATAAATCGGTGAAACTGTATAATACGCTGGTATGGCCGAACCACTCATTAATAAAACCCTGAAAGAAAAAGTATTAGTGTAGGAGACGAAAATATGATTTATTTCTGACAAGTCGTGGTTATTAACTTATTACCTTTTGAAAAGTCCTTTTGTGACGTTTGAAAGAGACAGTAAATGCGCGCATGTTGCTCCGGCGCTCTGCCCTGCTAGTGTTACATCGCTCGGGTCTCCGCCAAAAGCTCTCGCATTTCGCTGAACCCAGCGCAGCAGCGTCACTTGGTCTCTGAGACCCATATTGCCAGGGATCTTGGGAGAATTTAGCGAAAGAAAGCCAAACACGTTGATCCTGATGATTCAATGTTCAATTCTATCAGACTATTATACTAATGTAGGCATGATTAAACTACGTACGCAACCTAGAACCTGTTTAACTGACATGTATCATTAACAAGTAATTAAAGTATATCAAAAATTTGACTAATGACTTTTAAAAACATAGATAACATTTTACTAATGGTTGATTAAAAATGCAAATGAATACCTATAATTGAAAGTGATCACAATTATGCCCTTGCTGACGAGGTACTCTGGTCCGTGAAGGTCAGCGTCTCCTGATCCTGATTGGAAGCATCCACCATGAATAAAAACTAAAATAGGAACACCTTTCTTGTTCCCATGTTTGTCACAGTCTTTGTATTAGTACTAGTCAGTACTTTTCACAACTGGAAGAGCTTCCAAGGGTACATGAACGTTGACGTAGATACACGATTCACTCATACCCTTTGTGGGGGCCACCATGCGTCCGTACAGCTCGTCATGCTGAGGACATATGGGACCTTCCTCTGTCGCATCTAAATGATGAGACCACGGTCTCACTGGCTGGAGCTCCTATAAAATGGAGGAACGCATTCAGTATTAAATAGTTCAAATTACATTTGAACACCTCGTATCACCACCGTAATTACTGGCCTACCTTAAACCGCAGCTCCCCCAAGGGTTGCTGGCCATACGGAATGCCCCTGAAGCTAGCGTACTCAGTGTTGTATTCTCCACGTCTACGCAGACCGCATACCCATCCAGATTCAATGCGCATGCGCACATCACATTTAAACTCACTAGTTGAGACGATGTTAACTGGAAATAGGTATAACCCAAAAAGTTTTACACTGTGTCATGGTTTTAAAAGTAACATGTATATCATAATAGGACATTGAGGAACAGAGCACCGTGGTGAAATCGCATGAAAGGGATATTTCATAATTTCATTGGAATTTAGTTACTAAAATGTGGTGGGTGCTGGTATAGTAAGTAACTTACCGGAGAAGCAGGCGGCGATCGCCAGCACGCTGCAGCGCCAAAACATGGTGTGTTCAATTCTGTCAGTTTAACGCTCAACACTTACGAGCTACATATATATATCAGATAATTGCTTGGAATGTAAGGCTTAGAACACACCTGACCTGTAGTTTCAGTGTCACAGGCTATTTGTTTATCAAATTGTTTTTGTAATTACGACGATACGTGATGTGATTTGTCGATTAAATGCTTTGTCACTGCGTATCTAGCACGTTTGAAATTTAAATCATTCTTAATATAATTCCCTATTTAAGTTTTAACACAATATTTATTTATTATTTTATTGTCACTATTAGATTAAATAACGACACATAAGGTAAACAAATATATGACTGATTATGACCAACAGTGTACCCTTAGCTATAAGAGGGCAGATAGCAATCGCTCTATTAAAAATACTGGCACTCAGCCGAACCTGTTTAAGCCTCAGCGCTGACCACAAGTCAGCGCTAGTTGGACGACCCAGAGAAAGAATTTGTTTAATTTAGAGAATATTATAATTTACGTTCAGG